ATAGAATATATGGAATGGAGTGGAGTGGAATAGAATGCAAAGGAACAGAACAGAATATAATAGAATGAGGAGGAGGAGGAAGGAGAGTAGAGTAGGAATAGGAATAGAATAGAATAGAATAGAATGTATGGAATGGAGTGGAGTGGAGTGGAATGGAATGGAATAGAATGCAAGGAACAGAATAGAATAGAATGAGGAGGAGGAGGAAAGAGAGTAAAGTAGGAATAGAAATAGAAATAGAATAGAATAGAATAGACTGGATACTAGACTAGATTAGAACTAGACTAGAATATATGGAATGGAGTGGAATGGAATAGAATGCAAAGGAACAAAACAGAAAAGAATAGAATGAGAAGGAAGGAGAGTAGAGTGGAATAGAATAAAATAGAACAGAACAGAACAGAACAGAACAAGCACTTAGACTTATATACCGCTTCATGGTGCTTTTATACCCCTCTCTAAAGGGTTCACAAAGTCAGCCTCTTTTCCCCAACAATTTGGGTCCTCTTTTTACCCACCTCGGCAGGATGGAAGGCTGAGTCCACCTCGATCCAGTGAGAACCGAACTGCCAAACTGCTGGCCGTTTTTAAGCCGAGGTCACAGTGACCAGCATCAGGGGAGGGGAGGAGGGAAGCAGGGCGTTCCCGTGGATACCACCAGCCTTCACTGCCATCCTTTCCCAGAGAAAAGCCCTTCTCTGTAAACCTTGCCATGCCCTTGCTGCCCAGCTGTCAAAGAAGAAAAATGGGCAAAGCAGTCTTTTAAAGGAATCCATGAGGGGGTGGCAGCTTATTCTGCTTTTCAGCTGTGGCCTCTTTGCACAGGTGTGCAAGATGCTTCTTCTTCCAAACTCTGTGCATCGTGTCCGCGTTTGACACCTTGCAGGAGTTGGCAGCGTTCCCGGCTCTGAGCTCCTTTGGTTCCTAGCCTTTTTTTTTTCCTAAGGTCAACGCCAGTCATTATCCGACTGGCCCCAGAAGTACCTGGTGGATGATTATGGAGTGTTTTCTCATCTTCAGCTGGGAGTTCATCGCTGGCTTTGGGGCTTCCCGGCACTGACTTCTGTTCGTTTCATTTAAAATGCAAAGCAGCATCTTCCCCATCGGGCCTAACCACTGGCTGGGCGGTCTGATGTGCAAAGAATTGTTTATTTCAGATGCTCTGTTTGGTGGAAAACACCCGAGCGTTTAAAAGTCTCCGTTTAGCTTTCTTACTTTCCTGGAAGGCCACCGAAAGAACTGAGCTTTTTTTTCCCCCAGTACGTTTTTGAGTCACCACCAATTCAGCCACTTCATGCAGGGACAAACTGAAGCAGATCTTAATCAAAGTAGCAAAACTGTTATTGTTATGAGTTGCGAAGTTGTGTCTGACCCATCGTGGCCCCATGGACAACGTTCCTCCAGGCCTTCCTGTCCTCTACCATCCTCTGGAGTCCATTTAAGCTCCATCCAGCCACCTCTGCACCTTACAGCAGAATAAAATGGAATGGAATGGAACAGAACAGAATAGAATAGAATTAGAGCAGAATAGAATAGAAGAAGAGAAGAGAAGAATAGAATAGAATAGAATTAGAGCAGAATAGAATAGAAAAGAATAGAATTAGAGCAGAATAGAAGAATAGAATAGAAGTAGAATAGAATAGAATTAGATCAGAGTGGAAGAAGAGAAGAGAATAGAATTAGAACAGAATAGAATAGAACAGAATAGAATAGAATTAGAGCAGAATAGAAGAATAGAATAGAATTAGAGCAGAATAGAAGAAGAGAATAGAATAGAATTAGAGCAGAATAGAATAGAATTAGAGCAGATTAGTATAGAATAGAATAGAATGCAGAACGGAATGGAACAGAATGGAATTAGAATACAACAGAATAGAATAGAAAAATAGGTTGGCCCCCTATTAAATAGCTTTAGAGAATAGGTTGACCCCCTTCTTAACAGAATAACAGAGTTGGAAGGGACCTTGGAGGTCTTCTAGTTCAACCTCCTGCTCAGGCAGGAAGGCCTATACCATTTCAGACAAATGGCTATCCAGTCTCTTCTTGAAAACCTCCAGTGATGGAGAACCCAAAACTTCTGGAGGCAAGCAGTTCCACTGGTTAATTGTTCTCACAGCCAGGAAATTCCTCCATAGTTCTAAGTTGCTTCTCTCCTTGATTAGTTTC